TTCAACACTGTTCAGGAAGCTTTAGAATATTTATAACAATTATTATCTGAAAATTATTCAAAAGATGATAATGATGACAGTGTTTCAATTTTGAGTAGCGAGGATGAATACCTGCCTACTAATGAAGAAAATTTGAATTCAAAATGAAAGTGATGATGATTCTGGCAGTGCCCTAACAATCGCTGGACCTTCTAATTACAATAATAAGGATAATTTATCAGATAAAAAAGAAAAAGAAAAAATTCTAAGGAAAGATGAGTGCACTGAAGGAAATCCAGAAAAGAAATCAGCAGTATAATTTAGTGTTAGAAATAATGAAGTTGGAAAAGATGGGACAGTCTGGAATGTCTTACAATTAGGAACAAATGATAAAGGAAGAAAATCAAAGGAAAACATTTTGAACGAAGTTGGGGCCCAACACCACGTGCTAAATACAGTGTTATAGACACCAGTCCTTCAAGTACCTGGACACTTTTCGTAGGTGAATGGATATCGAAGCATATAAAAAAAATGCACTAAAAATGAAGCTCATCGACAGATTCTTGAAAATAAATGGAATATAACAATATAAAAAATGGCTTCTTTTATAGTAATTTTCTATGCACGTGGTATATATTGAGCAAAAGGACTTGAACTGGATAGCTTGTGGTCAATGAACTGGGGATCACTATTTCCAAACTACAATGCCAAAAGACAAATTTCATGAAATAATGAGATTCTTACACTTTGATATAAAATCAACGATCAAATCATATAGAGATACACAGATTTGCCTTTGTCTCTGCTATTTGGAATCGTTTCACTGAAAATTGCCAGACTAACTATACACCAGATCTTAATATAACTCTAGATGAACAGTTATTTCCTACAAAAGCTAGGTGTAGGTTTACTGCATGTCACTACAGATAACTTGTTCACAACACTGAAACTTTCAGAGGCATTGAAATCCAAAAAACCAGCCTTGTAAGAACTGTAAAACGCTCAAACACATAAAAACTTCAGTCTAACTGTTTATCAAGGGAAAAAATAGTGCTTTGCCATGAAGCCGTCTTCACTATTATAGCCTGATAGCCTGGACGCTGAGTTGCTGATTGTTTCAGCGTTCTTGTCATAGTTTTCTACGACCGTAAACGTGTTCTTGGAGCTGTCCTGAGTAGTACTGTCTAATAAATTGTGTTTTCATTCTTTATTAAGTGTTGTCGTCAATCACTCCAAATCCATGAACCCGTACAAAATGCAACATTATGAAATGTATGATTTGTAATAAATAATATTTGCAAATCGCAAATTCACAAAATCCTTCATTCTGCTACATAGAGAAGAAAAAGGCGAAATGAGTCATAAATTAATAATGAAATTTTGGGGTGCCTGACATTTTACTAGTTCTTTGGCATATAATTATATACTTCTTCTTTCATTCATAATAAATAAAATAGATTTAAATGAACAGATAAGTTCAAGCATGAGATAACATAAGATCTCAGCAACTTCTGGCTTTATAGTCTTTTAAAATTTTTATAGATAGTCCCAAAAATTACTACAACGCAACTAAATTCAGTGTGAACAGGACTGACCAAATGGCAAGGAAGTATACTGTCAAGTGTGCTTCTCATAGGCGGCCGGTGCAGGTTTTTTATAGCATTTGGGACCTCGCTGCTATCAATACCTGAGTTTTATACAAAGCCATATCTGGAAAATCTATTAATAGATGCCATTTTATTCAAGACTTAATTGAAGAATTGAGAGAAAAGTGTATTCTATCCTGGCAGGAAAAAAAAAAAAAAAAAAAAAAAAAAAAAAAAGAGAAGAAGAAGAAGAAGAAGTTACATTTTGGAGTATAGCAACCATTGAAAAAGACAAGACAACAAGTTAAGCATAAACGAATCTGATGCCACAGATCAAAATGCGAAAATAAAACCCAAATTACTTGTTCAAAATGTAAAGCACCCATGCAAATGTACAAAAGTTATTACTAAATTTTGTGCACAATACATACAATAAATTGAATTTTTAAAAGTCTGTAAAACTAGTAAGTAACTTGTAAAAATTTATTTCTCTACTTCTTTCTTTATTTTGTTTAAAAGACGTGTTATTAAACTTAAAGGAAATAAAATTTTAAATAATACGATTTTCTAAAAATTTAGGTAATTTCCTTTGATTTATGTAAAATATTTAACATAAATTGTTAAAAGTATTGATTGTTACTTAAAAACAAATGTTTGAGTTAACTAAAGTAATCACTTCTGCATATTTTACTGCAGAAGTGTTTTCTATCTAGGGTCAAATTGACCTGCACCGCAGTTCTAGTGTTAAGCAATAATAATGCCTAATGTGATTTATGAATCTAAAAATAACAACCATGATTAAAAAATATAATATAAAAATTATTTGAAAGAATGAATGATGTACCTTTTTTCTGCTGTTGTGCAATGAAAGGAAAAAGAAAGTAGGTTACTCTAAAAGTAAGAAATTCGCCAAATGACTTATTCTTGGTGCAGACTGAAAAAATTGCTCCAAGGTAAATTTTTGAATATCTCACCAAGTTTTACAAAATTTGATATCTAGGCATAATTTCAGTCAATTTGAAATATTAGAAATTATTAGAATTAAAATATGGAAAAAATTCAGAAAAAGTCCGATTTTGTGTCAGAATACCTATATTAGAACAATGCTATGTATAAATCTAATGTAATCCTAAGTCGCACTTTTGAGACATGAAACACGCAAGTTAAATTTCACAGACTGGCCCAGTAGATATAGAACTGTCCTCCCCCCTTTTTTTGTAGCAGAGTGTACCTATGACTCTATTTTTAGCCACCATTAGATTATGAAATTAAAACTTTTGCTGCTTTTTACCCAATGCTTTGATACTCATTACATTTGCAATAGATATAATTAAATTTTTTTAAACCATAGATAAGATTTTGCAGGCACAGCTTTTATGAATAAAAAAAACTTTTTTTTTTCCATCGAAATCAAGTCTGTGCATCTTTTTCCTGAAGATCTAATGTACAGTCAAAAGTCGTTAATCCGGACTCGTCAAGACTTCGGCAATTCCGGATTATCCATTTTTCCGAATTATAGATCATTAGTTTAAACCTGGTAAGATGGCATGCAGAAATTACAAAATTAAAAATATTAAACCGTAATTTATGAAACAAAGAACAATTATGATCTAAAGGGTATCAAAATTTACAAAAAAAAAAAAAAAAAAGAGCTTAATATTTATTTGTTTACTTTATTAAATATGTCTTTCAACGCGCGCATGCGTAAAGCATACATTACGCATAGTCGAAATTAGAAAATTGCAGCCAGAAAACCATTTGATGTGTACTCGTGATATTTATAATGATGAGGAATTTGATTTAAATCATATCAAAGACGGAATACATCGAGATGAAATACTACATTTAGTAAAGAATTATAAGCTGAATAAAATAGAAACATCTGCCCTGAAGATAAGGATAGTGCCGACAGATCAACTTCCAGTTCATTGCGCGTCGTGATGTCCCCCCCCCCCACAGAGCAGCGTGAAATTGATAAACAGATTTCTTAATGGTTAAGAAACAAAGGATATGCCTTTATCCATTTTTGCAGCAATTCCACTTTTTATTTAATGGACTTCGAAACATGCTTTCGCTTTGTAGATCGTTTGGCAGCTCCAGCATTGGAAATTCTGTTTGACATAATCGAAAGTTCAAGCATACTTTTATAAAATTGCTCTAACCGTCTGCAAAAAATAATAAGCCAGATCCAATTCAAAGATTAAGGAACAACGCAATCTGCAACATTAACTGAATTAGATAATTTTAGCTTAGCTTATACCGTCCGTTATACATTAAACGCACGTGCGCACACGCAAATTCGCAGGCAGAAAGTTTGTAGCTTTGAGGTCCGGATTATGGGTGTCCGAATTAACGAATTTTGACTGTATTACTAAGTTTGCTTTTAGAAAATTTGTATGTTTTGTTGAGAATTTGTCTTCGCATTTAATTTATCACTGCCAATGGAGTTTATCCAGTTTAATATATTTATTTGACGATGTTTCATAGTGCCAGAGAAAAACTATTTTATGTAATTTACAATCCTATTATGAAGTACTCCGGATGTGAATAGTACATGGATGTTTTTTCCTCAATGCTATTTTTTTCATTGTTGACTGTTAGATACTGTGCAGTCATTGTCTGAATCTGAATTATTTCTGTGGTCTTGCATTATCTTCATGTAGCATTGCCTTTTTGCGCTGGAACTCGTTCAATGTTTTTCCTTGATAGCAGCTTCAACATAGAAAAGCATCTTGCTGTACACCTTACTGTCGAGGTTTTTATCTTTTCCAGCTACTCTTTGTGAATTCTCACAGCATTTCCACCAGATACAATGCATTAGTTAAATTGTACTTTGCGATGCAGCTGACATGTGCACCGGATGCAGACCAACCCCCTTTTCGGCCTGTGTTGAAGTAAACCCACATTTTAACACAAGTGACAATCCGGTCCAGAATTTTGTCCTTGTGTTGATATTCGAGCAGATTAGTATAGGCTGAAACATGTTTGTTCGTATCTGCTTGAATCAGCTCATGTGGCACCCAGCAATTGAACTTATACGTCAAGTTTATACGATGCATGGTGCAACTAACAGACATGGTACTGTCTTAACTGCTTAGCAAGCTCTCAAGTGGTTGCTTACTGATCTTCTACAAGTTCGCACAAGCGGGCCTCATCAACATCAGTAGGCCAGCCAGACTACTCTCCTCCTCGAATATCATAGTCCTTGTTTTTGAGATTTTTTTTCCCATAAAAGAAGCTTATTTCTCAAAAGCAATGGAGAATTTTTAAGGCCAATTCGAGAATAAAGAGGATCTGAATTATACAGCATATCTATCAGTTTCATTGGAAAGATTTTTCTGCAGAACATTGTAATTTTTTCTGTACGCATTTATAAGTATACATTTACTGTACTCTTATTTGTCAGAAATTTCAATTAAGAAATATAATTTAAAGGGAGAAATAGCAAAAGAAGGCAGTGGATTGTTTATGACTTTGATGGATGAAGGATACATTAATTTACATGTCAGGGGAGGCTACATTTTACCTCTACAAAAGCCTAATGTCACTACGAGCTTGAGGTAATATAATTTTATACATATTAATTATAATTCTTATCATGTGATATATGTAATATCTTGCCTTTATAATATTAAAGAATATCACTAAGATTTTATTACATAATAAACAATTGCCTATAAAAATATTTAATTATTCTTGTGTATTTTATGCCTTAGCAGTTACACAATAGCTCAAAATATTTTAAATAATTGAATTACATAAAAATATTTTGAATAGTTATGCATTGTTTAAAAATATCTTTACAGGTTTGATATACAAGTTTTCTTTCTTCACACAAACATGTATTTTGAAACTTTTAAAATGTTGAACTGTGTAAGCACTAAAAAAAAATGCTCATTATTTTTAAACAAAAGATTTGTTTTAATTTTTTATCAAACAATATGTGTTATGTTTAGTTATTAAATTTTTATAAAATGACTTCTTTATATTCAGATTATTAATCCATTACACAGTACTAATTTAATAAAGCCTTAATGTTGCTTATTTTTTACAGTTCATTTATGAATTTGTTTCGAAATCGAGCATTCTGTAACATGAAAATGTAACATACACCTACTTTAATCAATCACTAATAAATACTTCCTTGATAAGCATATTGAATTTACAAATATTACTATTTGTTACTTTATCTTTTCTTATGTTGTTTAACATTCATAATCACGAACACAAAATTCTGCAGATATTCAAAAAGGACTTTCTGTGCTTTTTATATAGAATATAAGTTTATTTATAGACTAACTCCTATACAATATTTTGGCAGATTTGCTATTTGGTAAATAAAAAAATTGATAAAATTTTATGCTTATTATAGAAAATAAAAAAGAAATGTGACTTTTCTGGATATTTAAGTTCCAGATTAGACACAAGGATAATATATAAACTGAACAGTGAAATGTTTGTGTTTGTACATAAAAAGTATTAAAACTTCACAGTAATGTTAATAGCACTTTTTTTTCCCTTTACAAAGTTATAAATTGTATGAAAATTCTTTGTCATATCAATAATAAATTACAATAGAATATCCTTGAGTGACATTTAAGGGTTAAGAAAACAACCTCATATTATTTTAGTTTACTTAATATTAACCCACCCTTTGAGGGAAGTTTAAAATATCAAAAATCTCAAATTTTGAAATTGAGTACCTCACTCAGTTTCTGTCATAAGAGTGTCAAACTTTCTATGTTATTATTTTTTAGAATAATAATAAAAAATATTACATGACTATAGTTTGTCAAAAGACTATAGTTAGACAAAAGTTAGTAATAGACTATATGAAAAGTTACATTTCATAATTTTAATTATTTTTTTAATTTAAAAGTACCAATGCATGAATTTATGTCATTTAAAACATTTTAGCATATTGAATTACATTTCTATGAGCAGCAGGAGCAAAAATAAAGGCCATGCAAGGATGGTGGACAAAGTGTAAATTAATTTTTTAATTTATGAAGTTACTTTTTGTGGTTATATATGCATTGCACAACATTAGTGTTGAATGGCAGTTAAAGGTGTCATAATATTAAATTTATATGTAAACTATTTTTTTTTATTTAAATCAAACGATCAAGTTGTCGTGACTGATGATTTTCATCTGTTGTTTGGTTGCATTCATAAAATTAACTTGTATTTTTTAAATGCTTTTTTTCCCACAGTAATACAACACAATAATTTTATTTTATATACACTTCTCACGTATTTCTTATTAAGAATCTTTAAAAAAAGGGGGGGTGTGCAGCGTATTCTGCATGACCTGTTTTACTGTTTTTCTCTGCATCTCACTGGCACTAGCACCTTCACTATCCATAGGCTTTGCTAGTATCTCACACCTTCCCATTGAAGGGAGTGCTCTATTGGTGTGATTAAATAATAATAATTAAACAAATTAATCATATATGATTACAGGTTGGTTTGGTTGATTAGATTACGGCAAAGCACTCGAGGGTTATCTGCCTTAAGGGAGGGATGCCTTCGTGGAGGACTTTTTAAGGGGAACAGGTTTGTATACATGTTACACATGGGGAAAACTACAAAAACACCCATGCAGCCAGCCAATTTGTGGGATTCGAACCTCGGACCGAACTACCAGTGTTCAGCGATGTTACCGCTCGGCCGCTGGTGGGCCTTTATGATTACAGACGTAGATATTTAAAACATGAGATTTCAATACTAGGTATTATGTAACCTAAAAGAAAAATGTTTCTAGGAAATTGTTCATAAAAGTTCAAATGTCTTTCCAATGAGTATCTCGTAGTCGACTTAGAGCATCAGCATTGAAATTACTTCTTCCATGGCAGGAACTGACACTGATGATATTTACCTTTCCAAGGTCAGAAACCATCTCTAAAATTGAGCACTTTGAGGTAAGCATATTTTCAGATAAGTCAGTGGGTTGTGGTCGCTTACTATGGACTTGAGAAATGTAATAGGACAAAAGACTTAATCATGAAGTTTACTTCATCTAAGCTATTTAACCCTTTGTGGCTCAGTGTTCCACTACATGGAACACCCAAATTGAATCGTTTCTGAAACCTTTAAATTCAACCGTAAATAGATAAAAATGCCTTTATAATAAACTTTGAACTTTTCTTTTTAAACAGTAGATAGCAGCATATCACAAGGAGACCCAGAATTTTCATTTATTATGTGTTATTAAAATCCACGTTTTTTCAAGTAATTTTCTCTTATTTTTTAATGATATAAAAATTTTATTTGGAAAAAAAATTAGGCATAATTTTGATGGCTGTACTCCAAATTATTTGTTCTATATTTTTTTTAAATCTTCATACAAAAACCATATGCAGAATCATTGAATAAAACCAGGGTGTTCCATTAGCGAGGAACACTGCCTTTAGCGATCTCATGCTGTTACGAATCAGAACATCTGTGCTTAGGAGAGAACATCCGTTGTTTACGTTTTCTGTTTCCGTTGTTTTGGGGGGTTAATGAATTCAAACAAAGCAATATTAAGGGGTGAGGTGTGTTTTGCATTATGAAAACCTTAATATTGGCATCTCGAATTTTTTGGGAATAGTTTTTAGGCGGGAATTTTATTAGTAGCTTGACTCATCTTCACTTAGACCTGCGCGAATATTTTGCTGTCACTTTTTAGTCTCATTCCCGTTTGTTTTCAATAATTGTGTAGATATTTTTCGTGTATGTATATATTATAGGCTTATTTTTCTTTATTGTTAATATTAATCGTAGTTAAATTTTTTATTATTAATTTTCCATAAATTGCGCGGAGAGGTCTAACTCTTTCCGAAGCACTAAGTGTTTCATGAATTACCCTCAGATTACAGGCCAAAGATTTCCGGTTAAATTTGCTGTGTTACATCTGTGCCATGAAAGCGTCAAGAGATAACTTTGAAGAGGCGACTTCCTTCAAGACCTGAAGATACTCCCAGGCATAAAGTAAAGGTTTCCGGGGAAAAACGCCACAGTAGTGTTAAACACATATCGGTGAAGGGTATGCATAGACGATGTGCACATTGTAGCATGAAGCAGAAGCCTCACAAAACAAGTTTTATGTGCAAAACCTGCAAAGTTGGTTTGTGCTTCCATCAAAAAGGTGTGACTTGCTTTGAACAATTTCACGAAGCTAAGAAATAGGAAAATTTGTAAATATTTTTGTATATAGGACTTGTGTATATAGATATTTATCTCATTTATCCGTATATATTCAAGAATATTGTGTATATCCAGGAAACCATGTATACAGCCATAATACAGAGATTTTTCATTCGTATACAAACGCTTCTACTCATTTTCGTGCTTCACTGCAATGCTCGCTTAGTCGCACTTTTAAAAGCTCTGGCGGGGCAGTGTTCCACCTCATGGAACACCCACAGAATTAAAACGGTAAGTGCAATTTTTACAAAATTTTACCTGTATAATCCTTTAAGACTAAATAGACTGCATACAACTTTTTTTGTTGAAATTCCGACGTTAACGTATAATGCACCGCAAAGGGTTAAAACAGCATCAAGATATTTTAAATTACCTGTCCAATTATTCGAAAATATAAGAATACCAAATAAATAAACTTCAGCATATGTTCTATGACTGGTCAAAAGTTAGTTCATTATACGCTGAAACGTAGCTGAGGCATTCTTCAGGCCAGATGGCATAACTTTGAAAGCATACTGACCCTGATGAGTTACATATGATGTTAAATATTTAGATTCGGAATTCATTTTAATCTGCCGGTAACTTTTTAATAAGTTAAGCAAAGTTATGAACTTGGAGCTGGCCATTCAATAAATTAAATCTATGGCATCAAAAGTGTCAAGTAGAACCATGTTGCACTGCGACCCTCGCCACCCTCAGTATCAGAAATGCATCCAATTCAGTTTGAAATTTTAGATATCAGAAGTATACACGTAATCTTACTGTGTCGTTTTTCTTTGATATACATACAACAGAGTGTCCATATTCATTTAATGCTAACAAGTCATCAATTTGTTTATCTACTACTTTTAAAATTTAGGAATCTAGTAATGTTTTTGCCAGATAATAGTGATGGTCTTTTGATAAATAAGGCACAAATTCCTTTTTCTGACTAGCATCCAAGTTCCATTAAGATAGTCCATCCATGGTTCCATCAAGATAGTCTAAATATCCATTAAACATTTTTCATCTTAGTTTATTTTAAAAGAGGTATTTTCAGTGTCACCAAAATCAACATCAGTTTCATAAGTAGCACCATTGTTGGCTGTTTTCCCCTTTGCTTCTTGCTGATGGTACAAGGAGCTGTGCATCTTGCATATGAGTACTATCAGATGCACAAATGATAACTTTATTTTCCATTTAGAAATATTTGTATATTTTTTAACGATTATAATAAAAGGCGTAGGCTTATTGCTTGGTAGCAGAAGCAAGACTAGCCTGCTTCACAGCTAATCCAAGTTTTATCTTCAGATCATTTGAATAAATTTATAAAAGCTGTCAATTATCCAAGAAAAACAGTAATGTCATCTGTCCATGAGCTGCTCAATATGAATAAGGTCAATGATGATGTCAATCATATGAAATTTCAAACAGACTGTTTAAAACACCATTCCATCTCTCAACAAGCCAATTTGATTTTGGATATCCTGGAACTGACAGCCTAGGAGAGCATCCTATTCTTTTTAGAAATTTGAAGACTTGAAGGGAAGTTTGTACCCTGATGTACCTTGCAAATATTTTAGATATGCCAGTTCTAAAAAATATTTGCTATAAAGCATCAAAAGTTGCAGGTAGATCTTTAATAATTGTCCTGATGTTCCTCACACTGCGGTTGGAATGTATGGAAAGCAATGCCTTTATCGCTTAAGAGTTTTGTCATTTTCCTGAAGTTCGCTCCATTCTTGACATAAACATATGTATAGCCCTCGTCTTAGCATTAGATTCATGGGTTTCAGCACAATTCTGCATGAAAAGTTCATCGATTGCTAACCAATCAGGAATGTCACTAGGGAGCACAAGGGCAGAATATGTCAACTGCTAGCGCTCTTCCTCCTTCATTTTCCATACTGGCTTGATCTAACATCTGGAATCGATTACTTTGGGAAATATCCATCGGCTCTGCAGGTTTCAGTACTTTCGCTGTTTTTTAGGGTGACTTCCTTTCCATATCCTTCTCAAGTTTCCACTCAGTATGCAGAAGTATCTGCTGTTTACCGCTCTGCTATCTCATCATTATGCTGCTGATTCATTAATTCTTCTATAGAAGGTATTCTGCAAAAATCCTCCCAAGAGCTCCTCGTGATCTGAGCATTTTCATCAACCTGTCCATCGTATGGGCTTCAGCCAAGTCATCCACAGACTTACTGTTAGTAGAGGGTAATTCATCCTTTGCAGACATCACCTTCGGCTTCTGTTCTAACAAAAAATCTTCTTTCCGCAATGGGAAGGTTTTGTTCGATTTGACCGAGACTTCAGATTCACCTTCACTTATTTCAACATCCTCCAAAAGGACATTTTAAATTACCCGAATGTAAGTACATAAAAAAGTCAATCAGTGACTGCCTACGGTTACTGGGTCAGTTACGTCAAAAAATATATGAGAAATCTGCTATGCGAACTACACTTCTGCAGTTCTCGAATCGCTCACATGAATTTTTATTCTGCAATCTTTCGCTATATGCCTTTTGCTGAAGCATTTGTAATACTGGCCTTCTTTAATTTTTCTCTTTGCAAGCCTGCATCAATATCCGAACGATTTGGCGAATTTATGCTGCTGATGATAATGATCTACATTTCGTGATGGCTTGTTAGAGCTAAACCGAAACTTTTGACTTTGTATAGCCATTGTATCATGTGCATTAAATGCATTTGTTCTGTCTCTTGAGCTTGCAATTTTCTTTTGAAAAATTCCAGAAATAATATTGAAATATGCTCCATCATCATTCGTACGATTATATTCTAAATTTGCTGGAATTACTCTGAATAAAACAGGAATCAATATACTGTTATAAGATTTGGGATTAACATAAGAAAGACTGAACTTGGATTTCTATAGTATTATATAATTTTCTTAATTTTAGAATGTCGCTTGATCAATATGAGAGGAGATTTCACATATGTGCATTTATAACGTTGCGTCTTCCAAATCTGGGACTTAAAATTTGTATCGTTGCATTGTAATTTTCTTCAGATACTGAAAAGCCTTCTATAACATTGGTAACAGTTCCACTCAAATAGGATTTTAAGTAATTAAATTTTTCCGTTTACAAAATGGCAATATTGTCACATACTGCGATTTGAATGAATTCTGAAAATTTATCCATTGATTGACATCAGCATAAAATTAAGAAATCTCTAATTTGGGAAGGTGGATTTGATTATTTTCACTTTTGTATTCAATTGACTTAATATCCAAGTTTGTTTTGTGTTGTTCCAGATTGGATTTTAAATGTTTATTCAGTCTAGATTTGCATAAAATTATTTTATCCTTATAATTAGATAGAACTTTCCGTTTCAAGTTGCTTTTCATCATCTATCAAAAAGATATAATTTCTTCATCTAAATTATACAGTTTCCTTTTTTAATCAATAATGCCAAATAATCTTGTAATAAATTTTCTGTATCACTATAATGTTTTACATCGTCACCTACTTTATTTATAGCGTTCGTTATCGATTTGAAAGCTCTGCTCGTTTTAATGTGTTTTCATTTTTTCCATGTTAACATAAGCAATGTAAAATTCTTACATTTAGAAGTCTTTGCACTTTATAATCAAATTTAAAGGTAAGGTTAATCTTTTTTTTTTTAACATGATGTTTCCTGTTTCTTTTACCTTATGATCATTATTCTATTTCATTTCTTTGACACCCAAGTTGTCATGACCAATGATTGCAAATTATTTTTTGTCCATCATTTGGTGCCATTCATAAACTAAACTTCTATTTTAATTCTTTTATTGACAGTAACACAACACAATAACTGTATTTTAAATACACTTCTCACACATATTTTATTCTTCTTTTTCTAAAAGTAAAAACCACTCAGTGCATTCTGTGTTACCATTATGTTTTTTTGTCCGTCATTTGGTGAAATTCATAAACTAAATTTCTATTTTAATTCTTTTATCGACAGTAACACAACACAATAACTATATTTTCCATACACCTCTTGCACATCTTTTATTATTATTTAAAAAAAAAAAAAAAAAAAAAAAAAAAACCACTCAGTGCATTCTTTGTTACCATTATGTTTTTTTTTTTTTTTCCTGTGTCTCGCTGACACCCTTGCTATTCGTAGTGGGTGCTGGTGCCTCACACAAGTTAATACATTTTACATATCAGATATTCAGCATTATTTGCTCAGGCAGAAAACTGAAAATATTTAGGTTGGTGATATTTGCTTCCAGATACCTCGTATATAAGTAATCAATAAATATAAATATTATTATATTATTCATGTTTCAGTCGCAAACAAGCTATGGGACTTTTCATTGCGCCTGATGAATCTGGAACTGCTAAAGGACACTTATTTTGGGATGATGGCTATTCCTATGGTAATATATTGTATTCATTTTATATCATTAAAATGTTGTTAATTGTGTAGTTGAAAGTTTTTATTTATATCCTGATTATCTATTTCAGAAACACAAGAACATAAAACATATCTTCAGTTGGAATTAAAATACGAAAAAGTATATTTTCATATTTTATTATTTTCCATTTAAAAAAAAAAGTTAAGATTGTAGTTACATTTGTGACTTACAGTGATTTTCAACCTTTTATGCCTCATGTACCTTCTGTAAATTTGTTTGTGACTGACAGGTGAGGTGGAAAGCTACACTGGAAACAAACATACCTGCCAAGTTTATGCAAGTAAAAATCTGAAAATTCTTGGTAAAAATTCTTAATTCAGAAAACAAAATTCAAAATTTACTCATATCGTAAACATAATTAAAAAAACTCATGTAAGAAATGAAAAACAATTTAGCATTCACAGTAGCTTCCACCCCAAAAGGAATTAAAAAATTCAGTTTCAAAACACTTATTCTCTTGCTTATTTTTGACAACTAGAAAATTAAGATATAGTATATATTAATAATATTAAAATATATTTGATAAGATTGTGACATATTTGACAATTAACCAGTGGTGTTGTATAGAAACACTTTTTTTTTTTAACAATGCTAAAAATTTATTCATATTCCACATTATTGCGAGATATGGTTAAATATAGCTTTCAGAATTTTAGCCATCCTGTCATATTTAAAAATTCTATCTACTTTGTATCTTTCCTAGGAAATCAACTAAAGCCTCCATATCAGCATCCTCAAGTTATAACGATTCAAATTAGAGTGTTGAAAATTGTTTCCACAATTCATTTCATGCTGTTGTCTTTATTTGCATCTTTTATTGTGGGCAGAAATGAGAATTCATTGACAAAATATTGAAAACCATTATCACCTTTTGTTAAATTAGCAATATCTGCATGTAGTATTTCACTTTTTAGTGTGAAATTTCTGATAATCTAATTACTACAGTTTCAAAATACTGTTAAAAGAGATGAAAAAAAATTCTTTTTTCTTATTATACAGCGTACAGTAGAAACAATTAGATGATTAATAACTTATATACTTTTGTCTAAAACCAAATAATAACTAGCAAACAGTTTTAAAATACATGTGAAAGCATTTCAAGTCCCTTTTTAAAGGTAATATCACTCAGGTGAACTCCATTGGAAGTAAGGCATACTTCTGCACATTGTGTGTTGTTATCGGTACTCTTCCTCAACAAATTCACTAGAACTGCAAGAATTTCCTTTCGGTTGTAATCTTTCAGTTTTTGTTTAGTGTAAGGTCAGCGGGTGTCGACCTTATCCTTCAAATAATCATAAAAAAATTGCTGATAATAAAGCAGGCAATTGTGGAGGCCATTCAGTGTTTCTGAAACGAGAGATACAGTGCCTCACAAAAATGATTAGCTACTATAATTTTTTGAAGTAATATGAGAAAAGCTTTTAAATAAAATAATAAAGAATATTTTCCCTTTGAATACTTCTTAGCTCTCTCTTTATACTAAATAAATTTAAAAAATTAAATAGTAAATTTTAAAAATAATGCTTTAGGCTGAAATGGAAGAAAAGATAGCACAAAATTAATCGGACATTTTTATAATTTTTAATTAAAATCATCTGCGATAGTTTGGATAAAGAAGTAAGCAAAAATCTAAAAATTGTTTGTTTTTATAATTCAAATTTTATTTTTAGAAAATAATCATTATTTTTATGTTTTCTTGCAATGGCTGGGTCACAAAAGGAAACATCATTCGAAACCCACAGATTAGTTATTGATTTGCAGCAAAAGAAAGGGAAACCTATTAGAAAAATTGCCAATTTACTTAATTTAAGTAATTCTACATTTTTTGAGATTATTAAGCGTTACAAGAAACAAAATCGTATTCAAAACAAAAGGCCATCTAAGCTATCTGATGGAATGAAACACTTTATTAAGGAACTGACTGAACTTGGTGCACAACTTTGTGAATTATATGGAATATGTATAAATCCAGAAATTATAAGAAGAGTAATACGATCTGCTGGATATCATAGGCAAGTAGCAAGAAAAAAATTTAGAGTCACTTTCACAAAATCGATGAAACAAAAGACACTCGACTGCTGGATTTTCATTTGATGATGAAGGTTATTCTATTAAAGAAATTTAACATCTTTGGCTCAGGGGTTAATGCTGATGTGGATGAAAACCCAAAGATTTTCGGAAGAAAAACTTAGTAAAGTGTTAAACATGCCAGAGGAGGAGTTATGGTATGGAGATCTATGACACATTCCAGTATTAGTATTATAGAGGTTATAGATGGTATTATGAGTATTATAAGTACCTTGACATCTTGAACCAAAATTTGGCATCGTCAGCACAAAAAACGTAATATACAAAATAGTTTAAATTCTACTTGGATAATGATCCAAAGTATACTGTGCACAATGTTAGATTCTGGTTGTTATATAAGTGCCTAGAAGTAATTAAGGCATCATCTCAATTGCCAGATCATAATCCTGTTGAACATATTTAGCAGGACCTAGAATCAATTTGAAAACAGAGTGAAGATATCTTCGCAGCAGCACCTGGAAGCAGCGTTTCAAGAGAAGTGGCATAAAATAAGTCCAAATATAACAACAACAAAACAAACAAAAAAAAAGAAAAAAAACCACTTCTGTAGTCAATGCCCAAAAGATTAAGTAAAGTGATAAGTGTAAAGGTAATCCCACAAGTAGCAAAAACCAATGTAAGATTTTGTCATTTTGAGCCATTACTGAAAGTGTCCGATTATTTTTGTGAGAATATTTTTCCTCATTAAACAACCGATTTTTTAACTTAATTTCCATCTTTTCAAAAATATTGTTGCGTGCGTAGGGGTTCGTTATGAAATGAATGCACAAGTCCGATGAAAAATGAACAAAAATTTATTATTATCACAACAGAAATGCTTAAATTTTCTCAAATTATCATGCAGTATTGCAATATCTCACAGTAGTTATCTTTTAACTACTTAAATGTACAATAGAACGTAATTCAAAACAGCTAAAGAACGCTAATCCGCGAATTCGCTATATCAACAACGGCAGTTTTCTAAACCAACAACAAACTAAGCAACTACTACAAACTGAGATGTTTTCCTCCTTTTATAAGATTTTAAAATCACGCGCTAGAATTTTCCAGCACTTTCTCGAAATCAAAAAGAGATATTTATTTATTTAACGCATGCGCTCTTGTATTTTTAATTTTTCCGGCTTAGCTTTCTTTTAATATTCGTCACGCGCTTCACTGTGCGAGAAATAAAACCATTTAATTTCTAATTAAACTAACATTAGCTTTTTAAATACTAAATTCGTAACAATATATTTATTATAAAAAAGTGTTGAAGTTATATATAATCAAAACAAAAGCTTTCTTTCTGTTTAAATGTTGGTTAACGAATACAAAAATTCAAAGGGTCTGATCATTTTTGTGAGCCACTATATATTGTGAAACATTCCTCAGATGACAACCATTGAATTTCATGCTGTTTGGGCATTGTAGGAATTACACTAGATGTGTATCGAGATGCTAGTGATGAAGTTTATCATCAAGAAATTCTTGCAGCTGTCTCACATGTGACCATCAGTAACAGTCTGACCATTAATTAGCATGTTTAAAGAAATAGGGCCCAGTCACTTCAAATACAATATAACTTGTTCACTGTGTAGTGGCTCACTGCTGCCCAATATCCAAAGTTCTGCTTATTGACATATCTGCTTAGATAAAAGTGTGCTTTATCAGACAGTATGAGGCGATCTTGTAATTGTGACATTTTATCAATCATTTGCCACAACTTCTTGCAAAATTCACTCCACTAACTCAAATCACAGAGAAGGAGCTGTTGAATTAGTTGGAATTTTAAAGAGCAGAAATTAAAAAATATTATGTAAAATATGCCAAATGATTAAAGGCATTAAGTGCAATGCAGTTGAATGGCAGTGAGCAAAATGATGAGAATTACTCTGAAAAGCTTGTGTAGCTTTGGCATATATTTTCAGATGTTTTTACTGTTTGAGGATGATTATTTGGCATGCTGGAACCATCTACGCATCCTGTGTCTAAATGTTGTAAGGTTGTTACAGTAGCAAAATTATTGTTTTTGAAGAAGGTAGTTCTCGACTCAGATATGGGCAACTGGAAGCCCAAATTAGGACTTTATTATCTATTTTTGTAAAATTTTAACAAAACTTGATTAACAAACTCAACTATTTCAAAGCGAGCAATGACAACACTATATGAAAAAAATATTTTTATCTCCAGCACGTGAGATAGTGTATTGGAAATTCTGAAGATATGCTCTTTTTAAATTATTTTGTGATACTGCTGTTGAATTGAATTTTAAGTGTGAAGAACATGATCTTTAACACGTTGAGTGCCACACTTATGTTTTAGGCAATTCCGTTCAGGCCACGTGCTTCGCTTAAGAGGACTGGTATTGTAGGGCCAGTGATTCGTATCACGGTAGAAGATAGCAACAAGTTGCGAAAAAGAAGACATTCCGTTGAACAAAAATGCAAGAATATCTAGAAAACAACAACATAAACTCCGAAGAAAACCGGGAAAAGGCTCTGAAGTACGAAAATATTGTAAATTATGTTATGATAAAAATGCACAGAAGCTGGTAAAGTAATGGATGGAAAAAAGACTAAAAAGTGTTGTCACATTTTGTAATAGCTGTAATGGAGAACCGTTTTTATGTTTACCGTGTTTCAATGAAATCCCATGAATCAAAATCAAATCATGAATCAAAATTAAGTAAATTTTAAATAAATTTTGTGTAATTTCATAAAACAGCGTACATTTTATAGTTATATATCATGTTACACGCTGTCAAGCCAGCGGCAGTCGACACGGCCTAAACAAAAAGGTCTAGTATCAGCCACAAATGACTGACGCGACCTAGACTGAAAGTTTAGTGCAGCCACAGATGGCTGACGCAGCCTAAACAGAAGATCTAGTGTCAGCCAAGGGTAGCTGATGCGGCCGAAACGGAAAATCTAGTGTCAGCCGCAGATGTCTGACACGGCCGAAACGGAAATTCTAGTGTCAGCCGCAGATGGCTGACACGGCCGAAACGGAAATTCTAGTGTCAGCCACAGATGGCCGAAACGGAAAATCTAGTGTCAGCCACAGATGGCTGACGTGGTGCTCAAGGTGTTAATAAATAAAGGTAACACATAAAACATTAAAAAAATACCCCTTTGGCCATAATAAAAAACCTGAAACTTTCAGACTTTTTTTTTAAAGAAAGGGTGTCACATCTTTTTGATGACCAGCAATAAGAGGTGCATTATCTGCACAGAAACAGTTTAATATAGGAATAAACTGAATTCACTCGATTCATTAATAATCATCTTTGAAATATTCTGACTAGCTGAGTAACTAAATACAAAACAGTACTTTTTATTTCATTTTTTGTCTTATTAAAAAGATTTGCAAGAATTGGGTACAACTTGTGATATGTTTTACTATTTCCATCAACAGACAAGGAGAAAGATCTTTTCAAAATACTTAACTTGGCAGACATTTGCCATCTCAATTTTTCTTTTGCTCTAGCACATATTTCTTTTCTGCATTTTAAGATATATTTTACCTAAACTGAACAGCAACATGATATACTAAAATTTACAAAAACAGGCTTTAAAAAGAAAGAAAAGGTTGATTTTTATCCAAATTTTCATTATTTGATTTATGTGTTATTTGAGATGCTTCACAATATTACTTTTTCCCTGTGCAGTATTATACAATGGCGTCTAAAATGGATAAGTATTTCCTTTGTATTATTCTTTAATACAAAGAAACTCCTCCTTTTAGGTTAGTGTAAAATATTGGGAATATTGTTTTTTAATAATTTAAACACAGATTTTAGGAAGCATTATCCTACACAATTTAATTCAATTTTCAGTCACAAATTCATATCAGATTTCCAGGTTGGCTTGACAAAAGTTTGCCTCTTTCCCCCCCCCCAAAAAAAATCACCAAATAAAAAATTATTTTAAAATGAGAAACTGGGCAGATATATTTTTAAATTTTTATACAATTTTAATGACATCACAACAATGCCAGTGTAGTGTACCTGTCAAAGAGTCCAGAACACATAATCATGATGTTATGAATTTTGTTTTTGGATAGCTAATTTTAGTACATTTAATATTGTTGCACTTCCCTGTGCAATGCAAATTTTAAGAGAAAGCTCTGCCGGAAAAGTAAAAATACAGGAGCACATGCCTTTAACATTGAGAAAATGGATATCTTGGTAATTTGTATTCAAATTGAATAAATGTAATTGACTACTATGTTAGCTGTAACCATAATTCCATCCTCTCATTGCTTTCCAGAAATCTTGAGAAGCAGAAATTACTCACGACTTGGTGATAACTGTAAAAGACCGAAGACGAGCATCTCAGTTCAGTTGTTTAGTTACTGTTGTTGCCAGTTGTAGTTCCATGTTAAACTAAGATAAGATAAATCAGACTTGGCTTTCTCTTTAGGTGATGCTTTGCATTGGGTTGTATTTTAACATTTTGAGTAGTTTGAAGTATAACTATCAATTATACTGCATGATATTGTGAACACTAGTATGAATATTTCGGAGGAAAATTCCATAGTTCTGATATATTTCTTTTGATAAGAATAAATTTTATTAACCTATTATCGGAATTGAACATTTAATCTATTACGAACCTATACACACACGACATAATTAGCACAACAATCTAATACATAAAAAATTCTCATGAGGATGCTTGTAAATTACCAACTCGAATATTACCGAGCCAAGTGTGTTTAAAAGCTGGTAAAATGGCAGTTAATTAAGAAACCTAGCAATGCACAGTGTCAGAATGTGGAAGTGATGAAATGGTTCAACATTTATTTCCACTCACTGTAAAAAATGGGTTCGTCTGATCATGATAATTCCAAAATATATTTGGTTAGAAATCACCATGATGGAAATAATTTTGGCATCTTTATAAAAATAACACAAAATTCATTTTAAAAAACTTACACAGATATTCATCAAATTTGGTACTCATGAGAATAATGGTGTAAGAGATAGTATTCCCTTGTAACAAATATACGTCCCAGATATTGTGAGCAAATTTAAATAAACATCATCATTACTTATCTTGTCCCAGTGCATCTATTGTATTATTATTTTAATAAGCAAATGTGTTTTGAAATATGTAGTGGACAATAATACTAAACATGTGGATGATATTATATAACTGTATTTCTTCAACAGAATGGGAAAAACTCAATACTTTTCTCCAACATTTTGATCAGTAATTATCCTGATGCTTCTAAAGTGAATTTTGAATATGCAATATTCTGTAACCATCATCAGCCGTCAAAGATTTTTCTAAATAATGAAGAACTAGATCAGAAACTATGGAAGTACAACAATCAATTAGCAGTATGTATATCTTTAATTATTTTGCCTAATATATATATATATATATATATACTTTTACATTGTATGCATGCTATTGCAGAATAACGTGCTGCAGTAAAATTTTTATACTCTTTTATAATTCTCCAGCTGAGTGAACCAAGTGCTATTTCATACTCTTTTTTTTTTTTTAAATAACATTGCTCAGAAATTTTACTGTCAAATTAGCCTGAAATTTGAATTTGATTGATACATCTCTCAGCATTAGTACTCACTTAGACAAAATAAGCTTAAAATGATCTACTAGTAATTTGACAGTGGCCATAAAGAAACCGTGATTTACCTATAATTATTAAATCTGTATTTAGAATAATGATAGTAATTAAACTCTATCAAGATTTTATTAGTTACAGTACCAAAATAATAAAAAATATTTGTATATTTTAACCAAAAATGTCAGATGAAAGAAAAAGGAGGGATATTTTTCATTTAAAATAAGCTCTAATAAGTTTAATGAGAAATCCAAACAAATATTTTTCCATCTTGGTTTCTGAATCTAGAATATCACGGAGGACAATACTCTGCAACCAAAAATTAAAAAAGGGGCAGATTGACTGTTATTTCGTGGCTTTAGCTGATCTTAAATTTTATAGTAATATAGTGTATTTTATAATCTTCAGCTACTGGAACTTTATATCAGAATAGAAGTATAGCCAATCAATTTTATTTTACTTAAAAACTGACTCATTTTGCAGTTAATTAATTACAATAATATAGACAAAAACTAATACTGAAATAAAAACTTTCTGATATGAATTCAGATCCTAACCTATGGAATTTTATATTGAGTAATTCTGCTGTTGGAAATGAAGCACAAAATAAAAACAAATTAAAATGCCATGCATATTGTGCAAGTTTACCACACATTCATGGAAAGGGAGGCAATTAATGTTAAATTAACTGTATCATAAATTTGAGGTTTAAATGAATTAAAGTGAAATAACTATTTCAACATTTAAATTAGTTTTTCAAGCAATGGTAAACATGAAGACATACTCTTATTGAAAGAATAAATTGGTCATTTTAGCCTCCCAATTCTCAGATTTGCTTTGTCTTCATTTTAGAAAAACACCCCCCCTTGCAAAGAACAGATAGCATGTGCTTTACCGCATTTAATATTTAAAATCAACCTCAC